GGATACTACTCGGCCATAAGAAAGAAAACTTCACCCTTTGTGACAGCATGGATGAACCTGCATAACATTATGCTAAGTGAAACAAGCCAATGAGAGAAAGACAAATATCATACAATTTCATTTATATGTGGAATATAATGAACAACCTGGACTAGTCAGTAAAATAGAGACAGACTCACAGAGAGCAGGCTGACAGCTACTGGGGAGGAGTTAAGGGATGGGGAGGGATCAAGGAAAGAGGACTTGTGGACATGGACAACAGTGTGGTGATCACAGGGGGCAGGGGAGTATAAGGGGGTTAAATGGTAATGGAAAAAATATAATAAAAATAAAATAAAGCTAGAAAAACTATAATGTCATACAAAATACACTTGTAAGGCAAACAAAGCATAAATAGAGACAAGGAAGGTTAATAGAGACCTTAAAGTATATAACAGAAAAATAGACAGTATTACAAGGAGAATTTTGGATATACAATTTTACTTGTATAAATAATTTAACATTATTTCTCCCAGGGAGGGATAAGTAGAATAAGATCAAAATAAAAGAAGTATTTTAGTCAAGAGAAAGTAATGAAACGCAAATCAGAATTTAAATAACCTGCTTTGAACAAATTAATAAAGTATGTAAATATCTGGTATGTTTCACCAAGAGCAACAAAACAAGATAAAAGCAAAAATATGCATTATTAGTAATGAAAATGGGGCAGAACTTCAGATTGAGATTTTTAATCATAAAAAAATGAAATGAAAACTTGAAGCCAAAAAGATTGAAAATCTAGATGAAATGGGTGATTACAAAATTTTGATAGATCTATAATCTTGAAATTGCCTTATCAGTTAAAGTATGCCAGCCAGAACAATAAACAAAAACCAGGCCCAGATTATTTCAGCTAATATGTGTATTTCAATATAACTATTAAAAAGTGAGTATGAACTAGTCAAGTCTCATGAATGACCAAAGCTAACTGAAGATAAATGGAGAACTCACACAATTATTCTAGCTTCATACAAAGCTGTGATGATAAAAACAATTATTGATGTAGGGTGGCATAAGAACTCTAAGGGTTGATAAATCTGTCTTTTTTTAAATTAAAATATTAGGCAAAAGACATTGTCAAGTTCAGAGCAAAGCTCCAGACTGGAAGAAGAAGTTTGCGTATTTGCAGTGCATACTACAAAGAGCAAATTAATATCCAGAAAATATTAAAAAGAAAAAAATCTTCTAAGAAAAAGACCGCCCAGGACAGTTTATGTACCTTGCTTAGAGAAAAGGAAATTCAACTGATTTTCAAAGGCATGGAAAAATATTCAGTCTCAGATAATCCAGAATGCACAATGAATAAGGGTGTAGTTATTCATGTCCAGCAGGGGGGTGCAAATTTAAATGTAAGAAAACACCAAAGTGCTTTACAGAAGAAACAAGACATTTCAGAATATAGCTCTGTTGAATTTGAAAACACAACAGAAACTGTGTGTTGTGTATAGCCACAGGTGATGTGGGAACATAAAATGTGCCTGGGAAGCAACGTCAGGAAAGTGACGGCCACTAGGGAGAGAAGAATGGTATGGGACAGCAGCTAAATGTGGGATCTCTATTTCTTTAAAAACAGAGGGGGTAGCCATCATGAAGCAAATATTGCAACACGTTAACATGTTTTTATCCTTGGTGATAGGCATATAAATTATGAGGTATATACTTTTCTGTACATTTCAAAACGTTTCCACAATTAACATTTCTTTTAAAAAGATCATTGCAATAGTTCGTGTGTGAGGTGATAAAAGTTTGCGTTCAGTTGAGGTTGGTATTGAACATGTGGCAAAGGCAAAATTGGTAGGCACTGGAGGTCAGACGAAACGTTTCCGTGACTCTGGGCTACAGGAGTAAACGGTCCAGCAGTTGAGTGCCGACAGCTGTGTCACAGTCCGAGGAGACCTGTCATCCTTGTCACCGTAAGCCCCTGCTCCTGTTGGCATGCTCCTAAGAAGCAAGAAAACAAAGCAAACCAGGGTATAAGCCTGTGTTGAGGAGCAATGTGGAGTGGGCTTGGAAACTCAAGATCATTGTATTGTCAACAAGCAAAAGCTTTTGACAGCAGGAGGTCTGAAGTCAGGTTTTCTTTGGGCCTGGGTTGAAACCACATTCCTTCTTTGGAGCTGGTCTTCTGTGTATTTTTGTCAGAATAATTTGGCTGCAGATTCTGTCTTCCAACTCGCCACAAAGCAGGCATTTCTGCTTTTGTCCTTCACCCGCTCTGTCCTGCCTCCTGCTCCTCGCCACTACCTGCCCACTAGTTTCTGTATTGTTGCTCCCATCTTGTGCTCTAGAGCTTCTATCAGTTTTGGGAGGTGACGGCCAGTCGGTGGTCCTCCCAGCAGCAGCCTGCTGAGGTTGGTGCCTACTTCTCTAACTCCTTTCAGACTCCAGAACTTTCAAACCAGGGGACCAGGAGCCTCTGAACTTATCCAGCCTTGAGCTATCTCTGCACCTCTAGGCAGATTTCCTTCCTGTCACTAAAAGGTACTGGGACTGAGATAGGACCTCAAGCTCTTCCCTTTGCTTTTCCCATGCCAACCTCTCTGTTCACTGCTTCCCACCCTAAGCGTTTCTCATCAACCAGTGCTTCCTTCCATCCATGTAACGATGTCAGTTAACCACCAGGATTTAGTAAACCAGTACTCTCAATCACACAGGCATTCGCATCTTTGAGTCTGGATTCAAACCCAGGTGTGTCTGGTTCCATCAACAGAGGCTTCCGCGTGCCGCGCTTGCAGTGCTCCAACCTGACTGGCCCGCAGAATCATCCCCAGGGCTTGTTAAAACACACACTGGTGGGCCTCACCCCAGAGCCTCTTAGTCAGCACGCTGCTGGTAGGGGCTACACTGTGAGAACCTGATGTGATAGCACATTCAAGATGTGATGTTTAGTCATCCGGTGGTTCAACATAAAGGTTGGACTCAGGAAACGTGGGTGCTGCAGTGTCCTCTGGGTGACACTGTCCCTGCCGCACCTTCCGCCTCCCCTCCCCTCCATTTCTGCACCCTGTGCTGGGCAGACACTGCGCTGCTTTGTGTGTGAGTGTTGATGCCACAGCTCCTCAGGAATGAGGGGACATCTGTTGCTTTCAGTTCATTTAAGTAATGACACTCCCAGGTAGGAATATTTTCCTTTTCTTCAGGTGGTAAAACCAGCTTAGAGAGGAGGTGACTTGCCCATGGTCGAATAACTAACTCGTGGTGGCAGCTGTGGAACACATGCCAGGCAGTTAACACTTCCCCAAATCATAGCAGCTCTCACGCACGTGGATGCTACCTGCCAGACCAGAGAACATCTTTAGGATACCTCTTCTGGAATTACTTGTAGAAGCAGCTTAGATTTTTATATAAGAAAATGAGGTTTCAGTGAACACCTGGATTTGGATCCAGACCTCACTCCTCCAGATGTGTTTATTAAATTCTCCTTCCCTTATTCAATGGCTTTTTGGCATTTCTTAAAAATTGCCACTGTGGTATGGTCATTATTGTCCTGTTCTTTCTTCTGCTGTGTAAGGCCTTTAACCCATCCCATTTCAGTCAGTGGTTATCCCTGGATACTGGCTCCAGCCATTTCGATAGCTTCCTGATCTCAGGCGTAAGAAGCCCGGGAACATCTTACACCATTTCCTGGTGCAGAGCTAGAAGCAGCCATTTCTCCAAGGACCTCTGATTCCTTTTAGTGGGGAATGGCATCTGAAGGCCACCTGGCCAAGGCGCTGGGGGTGCTTATTGCCCTCAGGTTGTCCTTCCCTGTTGTCTCCTAAGAGGACACAGCTAGAAAATTAAGTACGTTTCTCAAAAAAAGAAAACTGGACCAGATATGCAGGTAATTATTTCCGAGTCAAATGAAAGATCGCAGGGTTTTCACTGGACTTTTTGGGCTTTATATGTTTTCTTTTTTCCTTTTTGTTGTTGTTGTTCAATTACAGGTGTCCCAGTTTTTCCCTTGTTGCTCTCCCCTCCCCTCCCCTTCCCTCCCCTCGACTCCCCACCCCTGTTCCTGCAGTCAGTCTCCACCCTGCAGTCCATGTCCAAGGGTCCTTTATACATGTTCCTTGACTAGACTCTTGCCTTTCTTTACCCTCTTATCTCCTTCCGCCCTCCCTTCTGGTCACTGTCAGTATATATTTTTTCTCTTTTATGCTAAAAAGTTGGTTACTGACAACTAGTAAAATTACTCACTTTATATTAATTGTATATAACATGTTATATAATATAATATCTTAATTTTATACAGAGTGTGTGTGTATATATATATGAAGAAGGGACAGTGTTTAAAATAATGGTATCAATATTTATCAATTATTTTACTATGGTTTATTTCATCTTTAAGTGTATCTTACCAGGGGGGTATATTGAAAAGACTTTTTCAGTGTTACCTGAAATCATTTTTCTCTCAAGTTGTGCTCTCAACTTGATACGCTGTTAAGTTCACTTGTTTCAGTTTGCTTCAGATTTTTAGGTGTTGCTTTTTTTCTCCTTTTTGTGATTTCATGTGGTTCTCAAGTGGAAAAAAATTTTTCAAGGAGTCTTTACAGAGAGGTCTGTTTTTCATCCTGTTCCCTTCTCCCTGTTTTCCCTTCTTCCCATAGAGAATCATTTACATTGGTAGCAGGCATATTCTTCTATTTTAAAAATACACGTTAACAATGTGAAACGAAAAATATTTCCTTGCTTTCTGGCAAAGGATAGCACGCGATACACACTCGTGCCCCTACTGCATCGCTTTACAATACATCCTGGAAATGCTTTCTCGTTTAACCATGTCAGCTTCACGTGTTTCTTCACACTCATCTTATATTTGTGTCCCATGTGAGTCCATTGTGGAGTGTGGCAGTATGTTACTCACTGTCACCAGAAAGTGCTGGGAAAGTTAGTGACTTAACTGTGAGTTTTACGAAGTCTTTTCTTTCCTTCTCATCCTAGAACGTAAATGCTGTCCTTTTTTTCTTCCTCTTTCTCAGTCTAAAGGAGTTCCTGCCCAAAGAATACATCAAGCAGAGAGGAGCTGAAAAGAGAATATTTCAGGTATCGGGAATGTAAATGTATTACTCTCCTCGCTCCCTCTCCTCATTTATTAGTCTGAGAGGGGCCCTTGCACGTGATAATTTTGTATCCCCTGCATGTACTTGGCTTATGTAATAAATGATTAGTGGCTTAAGAGTAAAGAAGCTGACAGTTCTACTTCGGGCAGATTTATTATCTTAATTCATACCTTCTTGCTAAAGGTTACTTAGCCCTTCTGAGAAAAAAAAAGTGCATATATTTAATTTCAGAGACATTATCTTGGTAGCATTAAAATAAGTGATTTGCCATTAAAATGCAGTGAGGAAGAAGCTACAAGTTGCTTCTTTGTCCAGAGACAGGTTCTTGAAGCTAGAATTTGGGAACTAGTAACTTTTTAACATTTAGGATTATTCTAAAAGAACATTATCTATTCTAGGCAACCAGTAAGAAAGCCCTAACATCAACTTTACCATGAAAGAGTCACTGTAGTAAATCCAAAATATCAAAGTCTTCTTTGATTTTGAAATTAAATATAAGTTGAAGTAAAAATTTCATGTGTATAAAACATTTTTTTTACTAAGTATTGTTTCCAAGTATTGTAACGTACAAGCATTTATAAAACCTGCTTTTTGGAAAGTCATATGCTATGGATGGATGTTAGAATGATACCTCCCCCAAACAAGAGCATTTTTCTGGCTCACATATAAAATGTTGTTCTCGAACCTTTTGGGATATGGAATCCTTTGAAAATGGGATTACAGTTATGGACCTTATTCCTGCCATGCTGCACATACACGAATTGGTGATGTAGTTATGAAATTTGTATGAGTCAGGGCTCAAATTTCCAGTTAAGAAGCACTGTGTTAGAGCTTTCGGTGTACTCTTGACACTCGGTGAGTCGGATGAAACATGCGTCATGGAGGGTCTCCTGCACAAGTGTTGCTTGCTGATCGGTTGTAGCCACACTACACGCACTGTGTTTTGTAACTACCTTACCCAGTCCACCTGCCGGCAGCACTGCATTAACTGGTCCCCACTACTGCCACTTCTGCAGGAGCACAAGAACTGTGGAGAGATGAGTGAAATAGAAGCCAAGGTCAAGTACGTCAAACTCGCCCGGTCCCTCCGGACTTATGGTGTGTCCTTTTTCCTGGTGAAGGTGAGTTGGGCAGGGTGTTGGATAAAATGTTTGCTTCTGCAGCCTCTTTTTCTTTTGTTCAAGTGTTTGCTTTGAAGGTTGATTTGTCCTCCCTAGACCCCTAGCATTTGCAGATTTTGGCCAATAATGACCCGAGTTTAGCTGTTGGACAGATGAGCAGTGTACGAGCCATGAGGCTGGTGAGTGCGCCTAGCTGCCCACAGTCCTCCGGGCAGCTGTGCTCTGGCTGGCCCAGTGTCACTGCTCTGAAGTCACTGAAGGAGTGTGTTCACTTTTATTCATTATGACTTCCCCCTGAGAATGTTTTACTTAAGACTGTCACAGGTACCCTGAACTAAGTGAAGGCCAAATCAATTTTTTGTGGTAAACAAGGAACTTAAGGTGTATACTTTCAATAGGTCTGGGATCCCTGTGACATTTAGATCTGTTTTCATCAGAGTTGTTTGTCTTCCTGCCGAAGGAAAAAGGTGATCTTTTAAAGTTAACCTGTGAATTGCAGGGGGAGGCCCTTGACGGCTGTGTTCTTAATGTGACTGGTAAACCCTCCTATCTCCTTCGTTTCTCCTTTGCACATCCTCAACTTGCATACTCCACTTCAGTCCTTCCTTTTCTTCAACTGCTGTCAGCTTTACCCCAGATAATATCGGGCCCTTGCAAATGAAGAAAACATGGCTGAATCACTTTGTTTCTAAGAAACATAATTTGGAAGTTGAGTTTCTTACATTTAGTGGGAGTTTTAACCGATCAATGAATTTTTGGATGGTGCTGATACCTGCTAGGTAATGACTCCATTTCCCAATAGTAATAATAATAACACTTAGTAAATAATTACACACCAAGCGTATCTTACTTAAGTCTTTCAGCAGCACAAAAGCAGAACTATTACTCTCAACTTCTTTTAAGAATGACAACACAGGAATCCAGAAAGATGAAATGGCTCAGCGAGAGCCATAAGGAGACCATAATTCAGGTCTCTGGGACGCCAAAGCCTATGTTCTTAACCACTGGGCTGTGCCACCTTAGCGAGGGTGACCTCGTTTGACCGCCTTCACCATCCTAGCTCCCGATTCCCACCATGAGCACATGGGGAGATTTGCTCGTTGTGGAAGAACAAGCTCTCTTTATTCATTATTTTGAAGGGCAACCGGTGGCAGATGAGTTCCAGTGCATCACAGGGACAGAGATTGAATTTCAGTGTGTCCACTGATAGTGGCAACCCTTTCCAACTATTCTGAAATTCTTTGAAGTCCTTCCCATGTGAAATTCATTTCTCACATTCACATTGTTTTCCATCACATTTGACCCAGAGTCAGTTTCAGTGACATGCATGGAGGTTAGTAAATTTGGGGAGATAAAATAGCACACAGCACAGTACATGTAATTAGAAAGTAAGGTCAAATACATGATGATGGGAGGAGATTTGACTTTGTGTGGTGAACACGTTATATCATAGAATTGTACACTTGAAACATATAATTATATTAGCCACTGTTACCCCAATAAATTTAATAAAGAAACTAAGAGAAATTGAACAGAAAATTGCAGAAAAGAAGAAGTGTGGTCTCCAAAAGCAGTTTAGTACCTCAGAATAATTTGTCCATGGCCAGGAGGATAACTGGAGACAGAATACAAATCTCTTGATTGTCATGGGGTTGCAAAGATTTGGTCAAGTGAAGACTCTTCTGTTACAAAAGTATTTAAGGCAAATAAGAAAATAATGGAAATTTCCTTCTTTCCTCCCATGTTCCCTTCCTTCTTTCCTTTCTTCTGTCTTTCTTTTTTCAAATTACATCTCTTTGAACAGAGGGCAGGGTCAAGGAGATGGGAGGTACTAACAGCTTTCATATACATATTAGATACTCAAATTTTGGTTTTCAATGATATTATTTTCTACCAAATAATAAAGTAAAGGTACTACCAACTTTCAATTTTTACTCAGTGGTCCTATTTAGTATACATTTTGTATTTAACATAATTTTGGTAAATATAGTTTACTTGACCATAGTTTATCTAATTTTTAAAATAGTACAACTAAGCATTCAGGAATAATTCATTGTTTGGAATTAATGAACCTAGTAGATCAGATAAATAGGTCAAATGAGATAACATCATATAGAATGAAGTGAGAAAAATTTTTTTTAAATAATTTACAATACCATCAAAAAGCAGTAAAAACTCTAGGAATAAATTTAACCAAGGATGTGAAAGATCCATATACCAAAAACTGTAAGAAATTGAAGATACAAGTGAATAAAAAGATATCCCATGTTCATGGATCAAAGAGTTAATATTAAAATGTCCATTCTACCTAAAGCCACTACAGAGTCAGTGCAACTTATATCAGTATTCCAATAGCATTTTTCACAGCAAAAAAAAAACTCTAAAACCTGCATGGAACCACAAAAGATCTTAAATAGCCAAAGAAATCTTGAGAAATAACAAAACTAGAGGCATTATACATCCTCATTTCAGACTATATTTCAAAGCTATGGTAATCAAAACAGTATGGTATTGGCATAAAACCAGACACATAAACCAATAAAACAGAATCAAGAGCCTGCAGTAAACCCACACACATACAGCAACTAATATTCAACAAAGACAGCAATACACATCGAAGAAAGCTAATCTCTTTAATAAATACTGTTGGGAAAACTGGACATTCACATGTAAAAGGATGAAATTGGAGCCTTATACCACTCACAAAAATTAACTTGAAATGGATTAAAGACTTGAATGAAAGACCTGAAATCATGAAACTCCTAGAAGAAAACATCCTTAACTTTGGTCTTGGTCATGATATTTTGGATGACACTAAATGCAAAAATCAAGACTTCCTGTCAAGATGGAGGCATAGGTAAACGTGTCTCACCTCCTTTCACAACCACAGCAAATGTTGAAACTAGACTACAGAACAAATATCACCCAAAATTGTCAGAAAATCAAACTGTATGGAAGCCCGACAGCCAAAGAATTAAAGAAGCCATATTCATCCAGATGGGTAGGAAGAGCAGAGATGCAGAGAGGCACAGAGAGGTGCAGAGATGTGGAACAGGCTGTCCTACATCCATGTGTGGTGGATAAATATGGGGAGGGCTACCTCAGGAGGGAGGGATCCCAGCCTCACACCCAGACCACCCAGCCCAGGGTTCCAGCACCAGGAAGATAAATCCCCATAACTTCTGGCTATAAAAATCAGTGGGAGTTTGGGTAGCGGAAGAAATGGTGGGATTCTCAGGATTTCTTCTTAAAGGGCCCAAAATGGACTTAAGACTTAAACAGACTCACTCCCTGCGAGCTTCAGCACCAGGATAACAGCTGGAAGGGCACCAGTGGCATACAGGGAGAAGCTGAAGTGACTGGCACCAGGGCAAGTACAGGGAGACAGCTTCCTCCTGGACAAAACTCCAATGTCCAGGCAGAGGCATTGTCCCCTCTCTGAGCCCTCCTCCACACAAAGCCACATATCAGTAACATGGGTTGTCCTGGTGATTACCTAAGGCTCCGCCCCATTTAACTTACTGCTGTGCTTTACTGCAACAGGCCACACCACCAAGACAGGGAGTCAGAGCAGCTCTACCTAATACACAGAAACAAACACAGGGAGGCTGCCACAAAGAAATGTGGCCCAAATTAAAGAACAAAACAAAACTCCAGAAAAAGAACCTAACAAAATGGTGATGAGCAATATCAGATGCAGAGTTCAAAACACTGGTTATCAGGATGCTCAAAGAACTCACTGAGTAGTTCAACAGCATCAAAAAGACCAAGGCAGAAATGAAGTTTACACTAAGTGAAACAAAGAAAAAAATATAGGGAATCAACAGTGGAAGAGATGAAGCCGAGAATCATATCAATGATTTGGAACATAAGGAAGAAAATAACATTTAATCAGAACAGCAAGAAGAAAAAAGAATTATAAAAAACAAGGATAGGCTAAGGAGCTCTGGGACCTCTTCAAACATACTAACATCCAAATCATAAGGGTACTGAAAGGAGAAGAGAAAGAGAACGACATTGAAAACTTATTTGAAAAAATAATGAAAGAAAACTTCCCTAATTTGGTGGGAGAAGTAGACATACAAGTCCAAGAGGCTCAGAGTCCCAAACAAGATGGACCCAAAAAGGACCACATCAAGACACATCATAATTAAAATGCCAAAGGTTAAAGATAGAGAATCTTAAAAACAGCAAGAGAAAAGCAGATAGTTATGTACAAATTTTTTCCCATAAGACTGTCAGCTGGTTTCTCAAAAGATACTTTGCAGGGTAAAAGGGACTTGCAAGAAGTATTCAAAGTGATGAAAAGTAAGGACCTACAACCTAGATTACTGTATCCAGCAAAGCTATCATTTAGAGTAGAAGGGCAGATAAAGTGCTTCCCAGACAAGGTAAAAGCTAAAGGAGTTCAAAATAACCAAGCCGTTATTATAATCATATAATCTGAGAGTAGATTGCTGGTTGCCAGGCGCTAGGGTTGGGGAAACGAAATGTTGGTCAAAGGGTACAAACTTGTAGTTATGAAAGGAATGAGTTCTAGGGATCTAATGTACATTATTGTGATGATAGTTAACAATACTGTATTATATACTTGCAAGTTATAAAGAAAGAAGATCTTAAATGTTCTCAACATAACAATTACAAAAATGGTAACTATGAGAGGTGAAGGATATAACAAACCTCATTGTGGTGATAATTTTGTAATATATACCTATAACAACTGCTCACATTTTACACTTTAAACTTCCACAATATTATACGTCAATATATTTCAAAAAGGTTGGGGGGGAAAAGGTGGCATCATATGGTGATTTTATATAAAGCCACTAAGGTGTTTGATAAAATTCAGCACCCACTCATTATAAATATGTCTTTAAAATGCTGGAATATGTGTACTTTGTCAACACGATAGAGTATTTCAAACCTATCATCAGTATCCTACTTAATAGAGAAATCCTAGAGAGAAATCTGTAAAAATTGGGATCAGAACAATTTACCTT